TCCCTATTCCCACTAAATTCTGCTTAAGACAGCTAAAAATACCTTGCTGTAATAAAGTTTTTTCCGTGTAAGCATTTCTGGTAGTTGGCAAAGATGTATAGTCATATTAGAAAGAAAAAGCGTTATGCAATGGCAGAGGTGAGAAACGAGGTTCACTTCTGAAGAGGGGAAGAAAATGAGGCAAGCCACTCAAAAAGCAAACTTGTAAAGATGCCAGCCCACAATACCGAATGACCAATAAAATAAGTCTTTGAATCTCCCTTACGCAGCATGTATTCAGATTTTCTTTCTGCCTGATGAAGCATCAAACAAGAAACTTGGATTTAACATCTACATGAAGACTTAATTTTGGTACTAAGAGAGTAATCTCCAGTCATAGAGAAGATCTGGAGCTGCTTTACCACCTGCAGAACACATGCAGTTGGCAACCAGCTTCATCAGGTCTAAGTGCTTCTTCACACCACTGACTCCAGCAGCTGTACAGGAAATGCCCAAAGCCCTTCTTGCACCTTCTACCAGCAGACAGATTTGTATTATGCTAAAACTAGGTGTGAAGGGTGAGAAGTCATACGACAGATACATGTCAGAGTGACTGATCACTACTGTGTTTAATTTCAGAAGTAGCAGCTGTTCTTGTGATTACAATTGTTTTTTTCTGTTATTTTTTTGTTCAGTTGAGAGTTCTTGCTTATTAACCAGCTGCTGCAATGGCAAATTCCGTGTTATTTTTAAGCGGGTAACTTCCAAGATTAGTGTTTTTAACAGGCCCAGGCAATCATGCTCCCCTGCGAGGATTCTTCCCACTACCATGACTCACTTCTAGAAAGACAGCAGCGGCATGTCTGGGCTGAAACAGGCCAGCATAGGAAAACAAAGCACCCAAAGAGAGGAAGGAGCTTTTGCCTTATAATTAAATATAAACCACAGTTGATACCAGAATTATGCCCAAGAGTCCTTTATATAGTATTATATGCACAATATAGACATGTCCTGGTGTTAAGCTGCATTAACACTTACTACTATTTTGACCCTGTTGACTAAGAGAGGGCAATGACTTCAGACTGTTTACAGAACCCCTCCCCAATATGCATGGCACACCTCGGGTTCTTTTGCTTCTCTTTGAAGTCATTTACAGCACAGGCTGTAAGGGAACAAAAGCAAATCCCTGCCTGTCTCTCCACCCAAGTCTCTTTGCTACAAAGGAATGAGCTTTACAAGTGAACCTTTCGATCTGTGGAAGCAGCAGGAACCTCAGGAACTGTCACCTGGTTAATACTACTGTATCTAACATGTTTGACATGTTAACAGTAGTTAACATGTTTGACATACATGTTTGAGCCTAAGAACACAGGAGGAGCATCCAAAGCTGTTCTGGGAGGCACACGCTCCTGTCAGCAACAGCCATTTGACCATGCTAGTGTCCCTGCTAGCCTGTTTCTGAGCATCTGTCTGGTCATTCAGTGAAATTGTTCAGCTGCGATCTACTTCTCTTCACTCCTCCATCCTGCTGTTTCTCATGTTTGTTTTCTTCATTCTTTTTAAAGTGCACAAACAGATTTCACAGAAACTGTCTCATAATGGGATTAAATAATCTCCAACTTTTTTTCCCTACTAGCTACTGCTTACTGTATAATGAAAGTATGTTCTCTACACCACACACATCCTGAACACAAGTTTCTTCTTAATCTATGGTCTAGTACTTAATTTCTAAAAATACATGCAGGAATGAAGAGAAACTCACAGCCACTTTGTGGCTTCTTGGAAGAAGCCACAGACATGAATGGAAGGGTCTCTGCAACCGGAGAATTATTTGCTACTCTTAACATTTCTAGCATAGCTTTCAAGTATTTGCTCTTCCACCAAAGCAGTATTAATATAAATATAGAGACGCCTGCCCACCTAATCTTTAAGTACAGTGACTTTCATTTCCTAGATGGAATTTTGGAGCTGTAACCATGTGGCTTCGCAAGAAAATTTCCTAACAGCTAACATCTCGCGTCCCCACCTTAAGGGTACAAAATTCTTCTTAGATCTACAAAAACCTACTCACTCCACTAAGGTCATATTTCAGATATTTAGTTTCAATACGTAAAATTCCCCAGTCATTTTTCATTCAGTACCTTCTCGGCTTTTTTCCAAAAACCTGTTACAAAAATTCTGTACTGCAAAATGTTTCGCCTATTAAGAATAGGAAATACTCCTGCACTTTCAGTCCTCGTTCAAGAATGGAAGTCAAAAGGAAGAAACTTCTGGGCATTTTTCCCCCACCCAGGAAGAGTTTTACTTGTACCACTTGATTTGTTCTGTCACTTTTGAAAAAGGCATTTTCTTCAATAGGATTTTATGTTTCCTGATATCGAAAGGCCCCCGTAATCGCATTTCTTACAGGTGTCCTGTTCTGTCCTAAGGAACAGAAACACATTTTCCCTTTGGAGATGTATGTATTTTCCCTCTTATTTTTGTCTCCTCAATCCTAATATACTCGGAGCATTGTGAACGTAATAGCAAAACAGAGACAGAATATGGTTTTTCTAAAGAGGAAACTCCCCCGTGACACAGGGAAATGAGAACACTTCTCAGTTTGTCTCAATACAAGCAGTAAGGCTCTGGAGGAGAAAAAAGATGCAGAAGTCAGTTTTCTTATGAAATCAGCCCTACTTTGAGAGACTATAGTAGTCAATACAAGTTTTGGGAGAGAGCAAGTAAATAGCATTTACTTTACTTAGCTTAGCATTTACCATTAGTCATGTTTAACTTTGGTTTCATGATATCTGCCTGAGCATTAAGAAAAAGCCCTCTGGCATTACCGTTTCGCTCTTAGCAGGCACAAGATCCTACTGCAGTTATAATTAATATTTGGATCCAAAAGCTCATACTTTGAAGCACGTCTGCTGACTGATAAAGTCCCAAGAGCCACAAAGAGTCATCAGTTCTGTGGAAATCCACGGTAAGGATTCTTTCCAAACCAA